AAGAAAGATATATGCCTGTTAAAGGACAGAATCACAGAGTTGTTGTGGGGGTTGGAAAGGAATACTAGAGATCACTGAGTCCAACCCCCTGCTAAAGCAGGTCCCTACATCAGGTCACACAGGAAGGCATCCAGGCAGGTCTTGAGTATCTCCAGAGGAGATTCTGCAACCTCTCTGAGCAGCTGTTCCAGTATTCCATCACTCTCACAGTAAAGAAGTTCTTTGTTGTGTTAATATGGAACTCCCTGTTTTCCAGTTTCTGCCCATTGCCCCTTGTTCTATTGCTGCTCACTGCCAAAAAAACCTGCCCCCATCAACTTGACTCCACTTTAGATATTTGTAAACAATGATGAGATTCCCCCCATCTTCTCTTCAGACAGAAGAGCCTCAGGTCTCTTCAGGACAAGAGAGTGCAGTGTAGGGCTTTGCAATATTATCGTAACAGATAATGCATAGGAATGTTAAAATTCTAGTAGCTAAGTTTAGTGGATTTTTACAGTTTGTTTTTTTAAATAATGGCTTGTTCATGTGAGTAGTCAGAATCGTAGAATCATTTGAGTTGGAAGGGACTTCTAAAGGCCATCAAGTCCAACCCTCGGCAAGGAACAGAGATCCATACAGCTACATCATGATGCTTAGAGCCTTGTCCAGTCTGACCTTGAGTGCTTCCAGGAACGGGGCTACCACCACCTCTCCGGGCAACCTGTGCAAGTTATGCTTTAGTTGTTGCAGAACTGCTCAGCCAAGCAACTGTTGAGCAAATAGGGTAATCTGCTCTTAGGGCTGAAGCAAGCCAGCTGGTTTCTGCATACACTTAATAGAAAAGAAGTATAATCAGTATTTCTTAGGAGATCAGGTTGTAGAGTAAACTGAAACCACTTCTTCCTTCTGGTGTTTCTCCTACTGCTGGTGGGCATGTCCACAGTTCCCCAGCACTGAGGCTCAATGACAGCCAATATAATGCCAAATGTGAAGGCCACTGGCAGTAGGTTTTTTAATTGATTACCAACAGTCAAATTGATCACACAACAGTCAAATAATGTTTAAATCAGTCTGTTGCAGAGCTATCACTGGCAGTTAAGGCTTCTGTGAAAGCTAACGTAAAACCAATAATCTAGAATTTTAAAAAAAGTTAAAAATACATATATATTTTGGCTGATGTAAAGTTATTTCAGGATTAGGAGCTGCTACATTCATTTGCCCAAACAAGAGGAGTTAGGGAAGAGATGTCTTTCTAAGCCATAGCACAAGTTCCTAACAATGTAAATGCCTTCTTCTCCCCATCCTGCTAATAGGTTTGCGGATAACTGACATAACTTTTGTTTATCGGGGAGAAAAAAAAACAGGAGAAGCTTATGTGCAGTTTGCAGCTCCGGAAATGGTAGCTAAAGCCCTACTAAGGCATAAGGAGTACATGGAGAATAGGTAGGTGCTTTGCTATGGTTTAGAGGGTAGAAGAACTTGGTATAAAGCATGCAGTGTGACTTATAGCTTGCCTCTTAGTGTAATATCAGCTGCTTTGTCTGTTATCTCATACTCAGATTTAGTTTTTCTTTGTTTGTTCCCCTGCCCATGTTAAGCACTGCTCTGCAGGGATGCCCAATAATTCAGTGACCTGACATACTTTCCTACCCTCCAATAGGGATTTATTAATTCACATTTTGCCATTATTATTTTCTTTTTTGTTGCGATGGAACAAGGCTGTAGTTGACTCAGCTACACAGCTTCATATACCTGAGTAACTATTGAAGAAACTATTTCCAAAATTTCCAAAACTGCCAACTTTTTTTTTCATTTGTCCAGAAAAGTTCTTTGTGCTGAGCCCAGGTGCATGGATGCTGAGCTGTAAGCTCAGTCAGGCTGTACATGAGATTATTTCCCTTACGTGTCTGCTCTTGTTGGGAAGAGAGGAAATATGGATAGCCACATTCCCCTCTTCTCCATGGTATTATTTCTTCTGTTCTATGGAAATGTCTGACTAAATACCGAATAGTTAAACCTGTGTGAGGCCCAGCTGGTACTGTTCCCAGCTCTGAAACATTGGAGGGTCTGAGTAAGGGGCTCTAGGGTAGATGGCTAGAGATGTAAGTGCAACTTTATACTTTCACTAAACTTGGGAATAGGATGTTTTTTTCCAACTTGTTTCTTTCTGCAGCATAAGTGGGATTTTGCTAGATTCCCATAACATTGCATTACATCTTGGTGTATTTCTCCTGCAACTTTTATGCACACCTTATTACATTTCATCCTACCAATTTCATAGCAGTAAAATCATAGGTTCCCCTGAAGTATTTAGTATTGTCCTATGCATCTTGTGCATCTGCTTGCTTCATTAGTCTGCTTTGGGATTGAGTAATATATATGTTTTTTTTTAACTGAGGGTTGGAGAGATTGGGATAGAGCAGTTTGCAGAAGTACATTGGGGGAAAAGAGTCTCCTTTATAAGGCTGTTCAAAAGGATGCATGCTATTGCAGGAAAGAGAATGTCTCCAAGTAGTGCTGCATTTCTGCAGCAAAACATAGCTTTGGCATGTAAGCAATTGATATTACTCCTGAAAGAATTTCATGTTACACCATACACTGAAGATCTTGTCAGAACAAAGTGAATCACAGTATGTGGGTTTATACATGAGAGTGAGTGCCTCATTACACATTGAAAAGCGCTTTCATAGACATTACTGTACAATCTAAATAAGTTCTTCAAAACTGCTTGCCAGTTAATCCCAAATTGTAACTACACACCATCTGTGGCTCTCACAGCAAATATGTGAGCAGAGCTGAGACAGGAGAACATTGTGCACAGTAATCGTACTTTTTAAAATTCCTTTGTGGAAGTACAGGGAGTGCCATGTAATTGTTTCCTTGTAATCCTAGATATATAGAAGTATACATAAGTACAAAGCGTGAAATGCAGAGGCATTTGTCTCTTCGCAAGGAAATGATAAGAGTGAGAAGAGAGCTTGGATCCACTGCGGAAGAGAGGGAGTTGGATTACAACAGAGGCTCCAGTGCCGAAAGAGAGAAGGGTGAGTCTAGCCCTGTAGCATGTGTGTGTTCTTCGAGGCACCTTCATTTCGCTGTCTGCTGCTGGGAGCACGACCCTGCTGTCTACAGCCTTCATGTAAGGGAAGTGATAATTGCTGGTGTTAATGATGTTTCTCTTCTCTTCCACAGAAGTGGCTAACGAAGCAGCAGAAAGCTCAGGGCCTTCTTCACAATCTGGGAGCATCCTATCATCACTACGCACCGTCCATGTGAAGGGCTTTCCTACACAAGTTAGCGCCCAAGACATATTAGATGTAAGTAGCAGTAAAAGTATGCATCAGATTTAGTTGTTGGCTGTGCATCAGCTTCACCCTGAGGGGGAGGGAGTCTTGTACCCACAGTTGGATGTGGGGACACGAGGTTTTCTGGTAACGGGGTGTATTCCTCTTCATTCTTTCTCACCACATTCACCTTTTGGATCCCTGTTTTTCCTTCTTTTCAGTTTTTTGCTCCTCTGAGGCCCACAAGGATCCTAATAGAATACAACTCTGATGGAGTTGCCACAGGCGAAGCTGACGTGCATTTTGAGAGCTACGACGATACAGTCGCTGCAATGGCTAAGGAGAGGGCACAGCTGCGTAAGTAAAGAGGAAGGGAATTCCACAACTCCAAGACGTGGATCCTTGGGTACTTTGGCTTTTTGTCTAGCTACTGGTAGTACCCTGTGAAACAGGGTTGTTTGAAAACTGGATTTCCAAATTACCCTATCTGCAATTCACTGAATGCAAAATACCTTTCCCATGTTGTTTCCTAGAGTTTGGTGCTGTTGAAGTATTCCTGAAGGAGCAGCCAAAGGCTGCAGGACACCACGAATGACAGTGGCGAGATCTCAGATTTGGTGAGTGCATCCTTCTTTTGCATTGTTCCTTTTTCATTTTTAGTACACTTGATATTTTGAATTTCAAATAGCATCTGGGCTGTTATTTAGAGCAAGTGGCTGAAGCTGATCATCACAGCTAATCTGAGGTCAGGCATCAAGCCTAGGACACAGGCCTATGCATTCAGATTACAGGAAAACAACTTTCTGTGGCAGAGGGGTAGCAGTGCATGTCTGAAGTGACAGCCAGAGCTGGCAGAGAGGTTGCTGCACTACCCAGCCACCACACCACCTCCCTGGAACTCACCCTGGCACAGCTGAGGCCTGCTGGAATGTGCAGGAGTGCTTTTTCCACTTGCCTTTTCCTCTTCCCCTTGAAGCGGTCCTAGTTTTTCACCTGTTAGAATTTCTGATGTGGCTGCACATCTCTAGCATGGAAGAAAAGGAGTGGCACCCAGAACTGTTTCTGGCTCTCCTCTGCGTATAACTTATTTCAGCTGCACGTGGCAGTTTTCTCTCATAGCCTGTTTGCATCTTATCCTTTTGGGTTACATTTTTTGAAAAATGCTAAATTCTACAATTGCAGTATTGGCAGCAATACTTTGAAATAAAATGCAGTGGTGCGTTTTCACAAAAAGAGAATATAAAGCTGCAATGAAGTAGTGATGGTTTTTGTCTTTTTCCCCCCCCTACTTTCTTCATAGGTCAAAGTGAACGCATTCCTAGGGTACAAGCAAAGATGGAGTATGAGAGTTGCTGCTCAATTACAAGGATAAGCTGTATAAAATGCCATTTGGATTTATGTAACAGCATGTAATAAAGCGTGTTGATATGTCAATATGTCATAGAAAGACTGTCTGTCACAAAGGTAGAAAAAGCTGTAATGGAGGAATGGCAAATGCTGCGGGACAAAGCAGTTCTAGTCTTAAGTTGCACAGTGCTAAGAAAGTATTAACAAAACACCAGTGTGGACAATTAACAACCATCAAGTGGTCTAAGATCCCAATACACAGGAGGCAGTAGACATAGCTTATTCCTTGTTCCTCCTATCATGTATCTTTCTTTGTTGGCATCTGCTACTGATTTTGAAATACTGTCATAGCCAAAGCAGAAGGGAAGGACCACTCAGGACACAGGATCCAGATGAGAAAGTTTTTATTACTACACGTGGAACAAAATTAATATCAGAAAAACTGCTGTATCTGCTCCCCTCACTCCAAAAGTCCAGGTATAAACCCAAAAATTCAGCATTACCACCAGTATGTGAGCAAATGTGCCTTGAACATTTGCAGCATCATAAAGCACAACAACCAGTACTTAAAAGCAGAGCCCTTCACTGAGTCCAAGAAATCAGGAAGGAGTTGTGTGTGAACACAGACAGCTTACATCATCATCTCACACCTTTCCAAATGCCAGTTTTAATTACAGCAACCAGAGCCCTATTTTGAAGGATTTTCAGCTGCCTCTGTAAAGGGCTGTTTGCATACTGTAACTGTAAAGGACCTGCTCAAGAACTGTCCTGCTTTCTACATAAAGATCATTTCAGCCTTCACTTCAAGCAAGAATTGCAGCAGCCACTCCTGCTGAATAGTGGGAAATTATGTAGAGGTCACAGATAAGCTGTCACTTCAGAGCTGTGAAATTGCTCAGATGTACCAGCATTGAAGTTACTTCACAGTAAGTACCTGTTTTCCAGTTAAATCCTTCAGCACTGAAATTGCCTGTGTCAGACTTTCTCTGCAGAATGAGTCTCTGCATTTGGATGCAGGAATTTGCAATCTCTTAAGTGTGTACCAGTGTGTACACAAAACTTACAAATTTGGTATCTCGTGCCTTAGCTATGGCATCTCACCCTATGAAAGCAGTGTTTGTTTTATGCTTGAATGCTAGACTTCTCAAATTTCAATACCACTCACAATTTCTTGCCTTTAAAGGATAGCAGCAAGGTAACTACCACAAGGGCAGAAAAAGGAAAATTCTGAAGCCTGCTCTCCTTTGTTTAGTGCTCTGTCTCTGAAGGGCACTGAGAGGAGGTGGAGCACTTGGACAGCTGAATACACTTAAGGCCTGCAAGGAACTAGGAAAGAAAAATTTCTGGGACAAACTAACTAGCACCAACCATGTGAAAAACACCAATTCTGATATACTTTTATAGTGCAGTTCCAGCCAGTCTAATGAATTCCTCTGAGGAATTACACAAATGTTATTAGGGGATAGTAGTTTAAAGCCAAATGTCTTTGTCACATATAAATACATCAATTTTTCTGTAGTTTACAAAACATCCTGTGGCCCTAGAGACTCAGGTAGGCTTCCAGCATCAGGTAGACCAAATAAACTGACATGATGCATGTGTGCTTTATGAGGAAGTCAATGCTTTTTGGAGTACTGTGTCCTTGAAGTCACAGCAACAAAGATTGATGTAGCACAAACTATGAAAACTTTTTAAACGTTTTGCGTCAGGATATCCTAAAGGTGAAAAGCACTGTTGAGTTCATCTTACTTTCATTTTGATCTAATGCAAAATCAGTGAAATACCAGCTGTATTACAATCATTTTTTTATGTACACAAAGGAGACAGGTGCAAAGACGTGGCCTTAAACCCTCTGTGTAATGGTGATTTGTAATCAAACCTTTGGGAGTCCTATTCCCCCAGAACATCAAGATAGGAGGTACTGTTGCAGCTCTTTGGATTGGCCACCATTTTGTGGTCACAAAATCCCAGTGAGGGTCTCCGATAGGAAGATCAGAGATGCCTTTAATGAACATTTCTGTACCAGATCAGCGTGGGTCAGCACTCCAATGTCACGCACACCGAAAAAGGAAATCTTAGCCCTCTCCAAGGTCCCTAAAAATATAGGATCATTTCACAGCTTTGTTTGATAATGATTTGCATAGCAAGCCTACTGCTGGAGGACTGGGTCAAAGCAGCAGTGTCAGAAAATACTTTTTTTTTGTTGTTGGTATTGTTACCTGGACTCCTGGCACTGAAGGAGCACAGTTGAGCCAGATTGTCAAAGACAGCAGGAAAAGGGGAAATGGTATTTCAAGTGCAGCCAGACGTGAGGATTAGAAAATGCTCCTGTTTTGCTTTTAGTGAGCCACTTTTTAGCAGCAGCATGCCCTCACTTGACACGCTCCTGCCTTGCACACACAGACACATGGCTCTTTCTCGGGTGGAGGCTCTGTTCTTGCAGCATCCTGAGGCTGCCTGATCACACCTTATGGTCACTTGCCTCAAGCAGTTCTCAGCACAAGCCCAGGCCAGAGAGCTGGCAGATTTTTGTACAGGGAGGCTCAGGGTGTTCTGTTTACAGTCTCTTTTGACTAAGACACCATAAAGCTGCTTTCCCCCTCCAAACAACACAGGTGTCTTCAAATTCCCCTTGAACAACTCTAGAGACAGTCACCTGCTACAACAATTTTTATGGTCTCACCACACTCTGCAGCCTGCCTCCTACAAGGGACTGGTGGAATACTGCTTGATGAGTTGCTTGTGACAGGGATTGCAGACACGCTCTGGGTTAATACTGGACGGGAGGGGCAGCTCATTTGCTGAACAGGCTTCACAGAAGATACCACCACAGTTCTTGCAGATATTCTGAAGGAAGAGGGCAGAAAAATTACAGGATACTAAAGACACAAGTGATGAAAATAAACTTGAGTTTTCTCTCTATAACCTTCAATTAACTCAAATTCTCTACTGGACTAGAGAAAGGTGCCCCCTCTGAAGACCAGAAACTTGTCCTTGTGCTCAGGACCAGGCTACCATGGAGCTCATTATGTCAAAGAATTGGTGAAGACTTGTAAAGTTTGGTAGGAGTTACCAAAAACGAAGCATTCAAGTTTTAATTGCTTCAGTCCAGTTGCAGCTAGAGCATTTTGTCACAAGTGATGCACATTTATTTTATAGCTATATAAACATACTGGACAGACCAGTCTGAAAGCTCCCTAGCCAGGTGACCTTGCTGTGCTCACTTGCTTCCCCCTAGATATTTCCAAGGGCTATTTAGAAATGTGGTACTGGTCCATCTCTAACCAAGAGTGGAGGTCAGAGCCCTGTATGCCAGAAGCTGGCCTCACTTGCACTGTGTGGAGGGACCAGTTTGTCCCCAGCTTTCCTGCAAAGCCCTCAGGTTCAAATCTTGGTAGGTTAGATAAACGGGGGGAAAATACAACCAAATGACACCTGCTTCCTCATCTCTAAAGTATGCAACAGTGAGACCAGAATGTTCACTGCACTGATAACAGTTTTTAAGAGTGCCTCGACTGTTTCTTTACAAACTGCTCCTCAGCATCAATGAAGGAAAGTGGAGCTGCTTGCTTCTAATCGATCTCAGAGACCGCCCAGGAAAACATCTTGACCATCTCATTAAAAATGTAAATAAGAGGAAATGCACATTCACCACACAACTGAGATGACAATATAAATCCTTGGAGTTACCTTTTTCTTGCTTCGAGTGCTTTCTTCCTGGCAGAGCTGGCAGATCTGAGCATTTCCAGGTCCTGATGGCTGTTCCTGAACCCACAATAAAAGCCAAGGCATTCTGCTTTACTTGCCTGCTTTCAATGGCTTTGGTAGCAAAGCTCTGTGGCTGATCCTTATTTTATAACAGGGATGAAGATTTCACATTGTTGTGTTTTTAAGCCCTCCCTTTTACAAACACACCAGGAAGCCACACAGGACTAACACATTTATTTGCAGGACAGCTGCACTGGCTAAAATCTGAAGGGTACCCCTGTAATAGTGATATTATCTTTTGCTGTCCCTCATTAAAAAACTTAGAGGTAACCAAAATCAACTAAGAGGCATGAGTCCTAAAAAGTCACCCTCTCCTCTTCAGCAGCTGCATTCAGCCCACTTGGCAACACCCTGAGTTCCAAGGGTGGACCAGGAAGCACAGTATGGCTCTGCAAGCTAAGGACTTTAAGCTTTGTATACAGGCCTACACAGAGATTGCTCATCCAGCAGCAAGGCAGGGGGTGGGGGGGGAACAAAATTTCTTTTTTCACCAGGAATAATTGGTGATGATGGTAGAAATTCCTGGTAGATGGGACTAAATGTGCATTGCAGCATCCTGTTGAGAGTTGGTGGCTCTAGCTGGGCTTTGCCAGACACCCAAGGGTGAAAGAACACGCTTGGGTCAATTTGACATACACAGAAGCAGCCAACCAAACACAAACAAATAACTCTTCCCCTGTAACCTCCAAAGGAACTTGCAAAATCCTAACCCAGACCAAGGATGTTACACACTGCTGTTTTCACAAAATACAAAATTATGCCTGCCTTGTTCTTTTCCAAGATGCTAACCCAGAAAAGGCATGGGGCAAAGGAATTAAAAAAGAATTTAATGTTAGTCTAAAAATAACATAATTTTGTTGAGGGAATGAAGCAGACTCGCATAAACGCAGTGTTGCCAACTAAAAGCCTTTGTACTTAGATAAGCAGCACTTTTCCACTAGAGATCCATCCACATTGCTGCTACACACTCTACAGGCATAAATCTTAATGAAGGCAAAACCTGAAGAACAAACTTCAGGGCATTTGCAGCAGGGAAGACACTGCAGTGACCCAGGAGCTTCCCCTGCACGTTTGCTAGTATTCAAATGCAAGAAAAGGCATCACCAACCTGCTCCTCCTGAGCACTACTCTGTAACCTACAAGAGAAAAACACAATTAGTTTGAGCCAGTGCCTCAATCACACTGCTACTTATGAGAAAAACACAGGGATTATCAAAGGACTCTTCATCCTGTTATTAAAATCCTATCTGCACTGATTTCTGGTTTTATTTCATCAAAACCACACTGCCAAGGTTGCTCACACAAGAGAGATGAAGCACACATAAACTTCATCAAACAAGAAAGCAAAGAGGCAGCAGTGACTGGTACTCTAGAATGAATACTGCCAGCTGAGTCAGGCAGCACACTCCTGGCTAAATGGAAATACTTGTAAAATGACTTCAGGAGAGCAGAAAAAAGGGGAGCATGAATGTGAAAAAAACAATTTAGACAGCACATGCAGTTTAGAAGTAGCTTAAAAGTTATGACTGCAAAACGTTTGATCCTCTGGATCTGGGAACAGGCAGTGGTTATGTTCTGTTGTTACGAAGCCTTCCAGACAAACGGGCAGACCAATGCTTGTAGCTTACACATTGTGAAATAGGTGCAAAAGGCACAAGACTGGACGGTTTTTAATAGCCAAATAAAAAGACCTGAATAGAGCTTATGATATTTTTAAGACAATACTTTTCCAATCACCATTTTATCGGCACACTGTCAGAGCACTGCACGTTGTCACTGGCAATGAGCGTAGTTCAGAAAAGCTGTCTCTAAGCAACACCCTCATTACAGAGTTCTTCTCTATTTGTCTTTAAACGTATCTCCACATTCAAAAACAAATCTTCAGCTTAACTTCCAAATGCTAAACAAATCCTATCACAACAATCTGAAAATGTGGAGAGATTTAACAATGGGGGCAGGAGGCTGAAATGCTTTCTTAGCCAGGGAAATCATGCTATTCCAAAATTCCCATCCAGCAGCAAAGAAATCAGAGAAGAGGGAGCAAGAATCAGAAAAAGAGAAGACAAAAATGAGATGTACTTTCTTCCATACTTGTGTGGCAGGACACAGTTTTCCTCTCTTGGGGGCTGTTTCAGTTTGGTGTTTTCCTCTTGGATTTTGAGCTTCCCATCCTGCCAAAAAGGATTTACCAGTCAGTCAAACCATGTTAGCATGTTAACAAAGAGTTCACCTTTGCTACACTGCTGACTGCAGAGGGAGACTTTACTTTCGTACTTGGAGAACACTGATCACACTGTCCTCCCTTGGCATGGGCACACAAAAGCATAAAAATACCAATCCACCCCAGGAGCAGCTCTGTATTCTTTTATTTTTGCTATGAAGAAAAGTTGATTTCAAGTTTTACAGCTGGATTCTTAATCACGTCCAATGGTTTCCTTTTACTAGAGAACAAGAAACTTCAGTCACTTTTTAAAATTACTACTTTGTATAGACTGATCAGGGCAACAAATCCTCTCAGCCAGGAAAGAAAAACTCTCCCCTCCACTCCCCAGCTAAGAACTGGGTCATAGCCTGAGCCAGGCAGGTACATAAGAACACTTGGAAACACAACCAGGTCAAAAAATAGTCTGCAGCCTACATGGCAAGCGCTGGCAGTTACCCATGCATGCACAGTTCTGGTGTTGCAACTATCATCTCAGTGAAGCCCGTACATTCTTGAAAATGCAAACTTCCACTGGACCAAGAACCATTTACAAGTTTTGTGGCAAAAGAAAAATCTGTTATGAACCCCCTTTTTTTTTTTTCCCTGCATATTGCCCTATCTGCTCCCAGCAGGAACATCCTTGCTGAGTAAAGGAGGCAAACTTTACTTTTGTATTTGGAGAATACTGATCTCACTGTTCCTCCCTCACCGTCAGCCACTTCCACACCCAGTGACACACTGTCACACAAGCAGCAGAAAAAAGCAGCTCTTTTATCATGATGTGTAAGTAACTTCACCAAACACTGTGTGGGGAAAAGGGAAAAAAAGAAACAAACACAGAAAGGAACAGTTAAAGCAGCCCAGGGGAGTCCAGTAAAGGCAAGTTTCAAGTGCTGCAATGTACATCAGAAGTTTGGAAGCCACCTCTGCTATTTCACAGTTCTCAAATTTATGAGTATTGCTCTCCTAAACAACTGCCAGTTCCCAGCAAAAGAGCCTCTTTTACAGAAAAAGCTGTAGGGCAGATTTTCACTTTCAAAGGCAAATGACTTCTAAAAAGGGAGTTTCACTTGGGGACTATCAGTTTTACTCATGAGAGGACCACTTCATTTTCTTTTCTTTTCTTTTCTTTTTTTTTTTTTTTTAAGAAAAACACAATGAATGTGCTTAATGCATTAAAAGCACTGCAAGTGACTTGTGATGCCCTCAAAAGATAATTTTGTTTTCCAAATTGCATTGCTTTTCCAGGAGAATTTCCTTTTTTATGACGCAAAAATCGCAAGTGAGCAAGCTTGCTTTTCATTAGATGTACTGCTTAATCATCTCTCCTGCTGTGTTATGCTTAGCTTTATTAAACTATTGAAGGAAGTCACCACCATAGGCAAGATTTGGTCAGGTCCCCAGCCTGAATGAGGAAATCTCTTCTGCAGTTCAGTGTAATGCTTATATTTTTTTTTTAAAAAAAAAAAGAAGCTCAACCAAATGACTACTTGGCATGTGCAAAAATGTTCCAAAACTCATCTTGTTCTGACAAATTAACAATACGTATTTAATATCTAATAAAGCTCAGGAAGAGAGAACAAAGTGAAACCATAACCAAAATACAAACCAAGAAGAAAAAAAAAAAGACATATTACCGGTTTTAACCAATTCTTTGGGCCTTTTTTGCTTCCTTGGCTGCTTTGGTGACTGTGTGACCATCTCTCTCTTTCCCGCTTCAGTTCAAGTTCAAGATGGCTCCTGTAATATCAAGGTGGAACTGTGAATAAAGTTAATAGCACTCAACATCAGGAGCCACTACATTATTAAAACTATTTAACATTCTCTTTACCCTAAAGCAATTGAAGCCTAATTCTAGAGCTAAAAATTGTTTCTCAATAAGTTGTTTAACGTGCATTAAAGCCGCAAAATGCCAGGATGGAGGATCTGAATGTTTTTAATCTAATTCTAGCACCACTTTGGAGAAAATACACCTGACATCCCTACAACCTTGTACATCCCTACAAAATACCAAGCTATGAGCGCATCTGAGGCCCCCAGCACAACCTGAAGAAAAGGATGACAAAATCCAGCTGTTGGTCGCTGACCGTGTACTCCAAGGCAGCAGAAAGCTCTGCTGCTGCAGCCTGCCAAAACAACTCCATTTTCTGAAGTCCTTACCAGTGAACTGAACAGAAATGCCATAGCTACTTAGGGAACAACACTTGCTCCAAAATCAAAGGCTTGGAACTGGTAAATGTACTGGCAAGGCTTGCACCATAAAAGATTCAGAATCCTCATTTCCATTAAGTACAAATGTATCTCTCCGTTATTAACATCATTAGTCTCAGTACTGCTCCAACAGATTAATAAATAACTCATTTGACTGCAGTCGCATTAACTACATAGCCTAACTGAAGTGGGTAAAGCTGGTGGAAACTTAGATCTAGAAATGAGGCCTCCTCCATGTGGGCATTCAAAAACAAACCAATCAGTGGATAAGTTGCTTATAATTTGATTAAAAACAACCTAAAACATACAAAGCCTCATTTCTACTTAAAGGAACACGATTCAAGCAGCACTACTCACCACTGTCTGTCAACTCAGTGCGTTAGAATCTCACTTACTTACATCACTAACAGCCCCCAATAAAGGAGGCACTGTTATTTTCATGCTGCTACTTCGATTTAGCATAAGGAAAATAGTTATCAGAAAAAACTGAATTGATGCCAAAAACCCACCACTTTGACAGCTACACTAATTCAGTAAAACCTAGTGCTAGATGCACGTGTAGATAAAATGCATTCCCCACCCACACCTAGTGCTATCACTAAGCTCACCCACACGCTCCGGGGATGTGGAACAGATTTCTGATAAAAGCCATTTGCTGGCTTTGTGGGTGGCCTCTGCAGCTTTCGGAAATAGGAAACAAAAGCAGATGTGCCAGAATGTTAGACTGAAAAAAAAAAAAGCATCCAGTAATGCATCCACACTGTTCACTTCAGCAACCTTGTTGCAGAACAGAGGATACCTTATGTCTACAGACAGAGGAGTGCTCTGCCTCTTTAAGAGAAGAGGACTATTTTCCCAGCATTGATAAGCAGGAAAAGACGAACAGTTCTTGCTAAGATCCCTGCATTTCACTTCCACCTTTTTAGTTGTCACTGACAAAATTCGTATTGGTTTCAACTGGAAAAATCTTGGCAGTCAGACCAGCACCCAGAATTGCTTCCCTTGCTCCTTAACTCTTACACATCAGCTCTAGGCAAAGACTTCTTCGAGCTACATCCTTGATGACGAGCAGCCAACAAATCATCTGCTTCAGGTTCAAGGTTACGTTATTACATGACGAGTCTGGCGTAATGCTAGATTTTGGAGAGGTTTGTATGGCAGAGACCTTACTGCACTCCAAAGCACATACCCAAGATAACTTGAGATCCCTAGAGCAAGTTAACTTGCAACGGCGCCTCCGGGCACATGAAGAATCAACCAAGCTTCCCAGACAGGTTTTGAAGCTTGTGGTGGTGATCTCCATCCTTCTGCATCTCTAGCACTGTCAATTCCCAAAGCAGATGCCCAAAGCATAGAAAATATGCATGGAAATTTCCATGTTTGAAGGGAACATCTTGACATTTCATTTCTATTCAAGAGATGTTCTGCAGCCTGTTTCTGATAACTCACTGCTATAGATTTGTACCTTTGCTCGTGGCTTCTGCTGACCTCTCAGTTCTTTTGCATTTCCTTCCCATCAGATTTTTCAAGTTTCAATTTCAAAAGCCTTGCTACTTCTCAAAGCATTCTACCTCCCTAGCTTCAACACCATCTGGCAAATAAAATGCCATTCGTCTCCTTCCAGCCCCTTCCTCATTTTGGGACTGACCCGCCCGGTTTCTTCTAGACACAGGAAGAACAGCCCAGAAAATAAATGAGAAAAAGATCTCTTCACCGCTGCCTGGAGAGCTCTTCCACTTCTAGCTGGAGGCTGTTGATTTTGTCCCCAAACTCCTGCTTGAAGAGACGGTTGTCCTGCTGTGCCAACTGACGGTCTTTCTCCGCCTGCCGCAATCTGGATTTGAGCCACATGAACTTGTGATAAAAAACAAAAGCCATGGTGGGGAGGAAGACCGACTTTAACCAACAAATAAAAAAACCCAGTGAAAAGGTAAAGCCAAAAAAAAAAAAAAAAAGGGATGGTAAAAACAATGGGAAGGGGGAAAATATTTTAAAGAAAAGTAAAATGTAGGTGAACCAGGCAGAAGCTCTGATTTTCAATTTTTTTTTTTTTATTCTATTACTACAGTTTACAGCCATTAGATGAAAAACATAAAACATCACTTTTATCCAGATTCAAAGCAAACCTCAAATACACAAAATTTTAAGTCAAATTTGATTTTAATGTACGTTACATCTCAGCTTTACACATGTAGCTGGAACTTGCAACATAGGTTAGCTAATATATTTAGAATTAGTGCATCTTCCTGGTCTCTTCCACTGACTGTCACGCTGACTCAAGTGCCTGGGCATTAAGACACCAAAGCTTCTCTGCTTTGGGCCTGACATCAAACTGTCAGATGCTTAATTCTGTCTTATTTTGGCATTGTTGTGACAGCAAACAAAATGAGCCCAAACCCCAATTTCTATAGAAGAAATGTGAGGAGAAGGGCAGGGGTGTTAACTGTTCTAACTAGCTATTTGGATACCTTGATGAAAGCTTTTGCCATTTTTTTTTCCCCCCAAATAGTTAAAATGCATTCCTAGTGAAAGATTACAGAAGCTTAAGTCTATACTCTCAAGCATGAGGCTTGGGCATCACTAGAAGATTTAAATCCAGTCTCCAAGTCTGCTCGTGTGCAGGAGTCCATTAAACAAGCTAAGCAGTGGAACGCGCTTGTGCGTAGGAGGACTAGGCTGATCTGTAAATATATCTAGTGAGAATTAGTAGATATTCTTTCCCAGTTGTATTTCAGTCGCATCTGCTGTCTGCTGCCCCCAAGAAGCACTATCCAACAAGATAAGTGGGGAACTGGCATCAAATAATTTCTATAAGTGTCTCATCTGAGCAAAAACCTCTCGATTTTACTCAGAAAAACCCCAAACATTATTCTCTTGAAAGAAAAAAAAAATCTGTAGGAGCATTTCTAATGTAAAGCCTATAACAGTCCAGCACCTTGAGCTTCTGTGGCCACAGGGAAGAGGACATTAATTTATAATTGGCCATACTACAGTTGCTTAATGTTTTGCGCTGGGGTGTTACGATGACAAATACTTTTCCCATTCTGAGATGCTTCCAAGCTTCAGTGTTCTTTCATCATTTATCAGCAAATTCCATATTTGTATTGAGCAGTGGAAACATAGAAGCAAATGAAAGAAGTATAATAGTAAAAGGCAACTCTTCCTTTTAAACCACTAACTACTCAGATAAGGAGTGGTCAAGTACCAAATTACCATTTCCACTCCCCACCACTGCACTTTTTTTTGTTGTTTGTTTGTTTTAAACACTAGAGTATAAAGATCAGATTTTTTGTTGTTGTAAAACATGTAACTTCCCATTCTAGAAAGAGGAGAGACCTATCAAAACACCTCTCCTCAGCTTCCTTCAGTAAGGAAGAACAGCAACGTATGTCTAGAGGGATTCATGGCAGAGGTAGAAGGCAATGCAAAGATAAGGAGGTTTTCACTGAACTTACCACTCTATCATGTTACTCTAAGACACCTAACTACTAATTTTGGACACATGAATTTTGAAGGAATAAGGATAAGTCCCCCCCGCCCCCCACCAAGTCACTAAGGCAAAATCATTGCAAGCAGTCCTGGTTACAAGAGGGCTGATCTTCGTGGTGATGAGCTACTGGCCGTGCCCATCTGTCTTAAGACTTGGGGCTGAGCCCACAAAACAGAAGTGAATGGGTAATGGCTTGGGGTACGCACACAACTACTTTCAACAACTTCCAGGGATGCATTTGCTCCTCTAATTCACAAAAAGGGTAACACAGAAAACTAGTTGACTTTCCAGAGCTGGCCAATGCAATATTGACTTGACCAACGCACCTAGTATCCATACATGTTGAAGACTTGTGCTGCTGTATACGGCATGCATCACCAGGATGTACAGAGCCACATTCCTTATGCTTTTCTGGTGTTTATTGGCCAACTCGTTGGTATTTTAACACAGTTTAAATGGCAAAGTTAGGGATTTTTATATCCAACTAAATCTCTGAAGAAAAACTCACTAGTTTTAAAAATTCAGCAAAATCCAAATCAACTTTAGGTGACAATTAACATTTTAACAGTTGATCTTAGCAATTCTAAAGTTCTCCTCTCGTGAGTTCTGATGTCAGAGCTGTGAGGTGATCAGACACAAAAATGTCTAATGATGCTTTTGGATCAGTTTGTTTGCTGCACTGTTTAAGGTTTTTGCCTGTTTCACCAAATCCTTTTCACTGTATAAGTAAGTTAGAATGAGGATGAAGAGGAAATGGAAAAATAAGAACAGCAAGAGAAAAAGAGCACATCAATTAGCAGAGAAGATATAATGCACCATAAAATACAAATTTTCTACAAACTGAGCTATGTCATTAAGTATCATTCAAAATGCAAACCTTAAAAATGAGAACATTTACTTAATGAATAGTTTAATGCACTAAATTAATTTAAGACCCATCTTGCTGAGACCTAAGCCTTCCCTTGGTTTGGTTTGGAGCTACCACTGCAGTCAAGGCAATTCAGAGCCTGAAGTCTTCGGCCAAATAAGAAAAAAGGGAAAAAGGAGCACTGCTCCTCAAATCATTTCAACTTCATTGCTAAGGCCATCCAAATTACATGATTTAGTAACACCAAAGCAACAGAGCCATTAGGATGGACTTGTCTCAGACCAAATGGATGTTATACTTACAGGATATTTTTACCAGCTTCTACAGACAATCAGCCTGTTCCTTGACTTACTTTCACGTGAGATTTTTTTTTTCCCCCCCAAGCATATCTTCCTCAGAAACTATAGGGACCTGATCATTTGTCTGCTCTTAAAACAAATGGTTCAAAATTTGGGGTACTTTTTTCAAAATGGTACCAAAAAGATCTGGAATAATCATGCATCTTCAGAATGATTTCTATTTTACTTTTCTCTTCCCTGCTCCCACTGCAATATTGTCATTAATAGTCAAGCACTTGTTTAGATGCTTAACAGTGTGCTCACTATCAGATAATTGTAATTAGATAATTGTAATTGACTTACAATGACTGAATAAGATGGAAATATGCAGCTGATAGATAAACAAAGCTGCTACGTTAATTGCTGTTTTAGTAGTATATTCCTTTTTTAATGGAGGCTCCCTTGAACATGCAAAACACTTCACACTATGGCACAAAATTACTGCTCAGACTGAATCCTGCTCTCTTCACGTTGCTCTGTTTAGTAGTGCTTTAGCAGCACGCTAAGGCTCTCATCTGGTCTATGGAATTCAGTGCAACACTATCACTAGTATAGCACAATTATCATAATTGCAGAAGTTTCATTTTTTTACCTTTGTTCAAGCTGTTTGATGGTAGCAGCCATCTGATTTGTTTTTTCTTCTAAACGGCTATTCAGTTCACTCTTCTGTTTCACTCCCATGTCTGAACTCTACAAAAAGTAGCAATGTGTTTTATATAAGTATCAGTGAAACCAAAATAAGCAAGAACAAATCATGTGGCAAATGGCTAGTAATAGACAGAAGCCATTATGACTGAAGGTGCTCAGAAAGCAAATGCCAGGTCAGCATGGCATCCTGCCCTACAGGTACAGGCTACATTTGGACCTCACAGAATGCCAATGTTATAATCAGATCTGCTTCCTATAAGTGGTGGTAATGCAGTAACTGTTAATGACCCTACAACGTTTTGCACGGAACAATTGGCTCAAGGAGCACAGAAGCAAGGTTTTCCTGGTCTATAATTTTTGATTTGTTTCTATGCACTGTGTGCTACTCTGTGTCCTAAAGAGACTGCTTTCGTCATTATGTAGTAATGTATGTAATGACAGTGTAAACATTTCAAATAAGGCAGTAATGGTTCAGTATCTACATCATAAAAACCAGAAGATACTTTCCTCACTGAAACATGCACATTTCTGAATTATCATCAGTCTTTCTTCACAACAAATAGCATTTACTTTAGCTCCCCAATAGGGACAATTGCTTAAAATGCGACAGCTTCCTGTTTTGCACCTTAGTAGCTCATGCCCTCTTTAAGATCAAACTTTAACAATACCAGGATTACAGAGCACATCCATAGCCTAGAAAGCAGCCTGAACCAAACCCCATGATTAACTGAGAAAACACTCTGTATGGGAAGTACTGAATCACAGCCTGAACCTCTGATTGATCACCTGAGTCAGCCGTGGGAGCACAGGTGAAGGCAATTCAGCTGTGTGACTGGAAGGGGTGGAGCCTGGCTGCACCTTTCCTAGACACGTTTAAGGGCTGACTGCCACTGGGGAAGGATCTCTCTCTGGAGATCACTCCTCTTAGAGTTTTTCCTGTGATTCCAGGACATGGGTAAGCTTTTCTGTTCATTTCCTATTATCCCTTTCCAACTATATGCTCTCTAAAGACCAGCCTAACTTCTCAGTACATTTGTCAATTACACATCTGTTTACTCATTGATTATACACACTCCCAAATGAAGAGTAGCAAAGAACAGCTCACTACTGAGATACCCTTCCCAAAGCATACCTACATTGCATATACTTCCCCACAATAGGGAAAATCCTATATCTGTGGCAGTGGATAATGTCACCTAACTGAAACAGACGCTTGGCAAGGTAACCTTTGTGGGGAAACATTCCTTTCAGGTAAGGTTTGTTGTTTTTTTTTTCCCTGTAGGTTTACAAATTTGAAAAAGACTATCAGTGCACATGTCATTAGAGAATTCTTATCTACCCTAAAGATTCTTACACAAAGCAAATTTAACCAGCACTTAAGAATGCCAGCCCTACATGATCAACAAACAGAAACAAATGCAGAAAAAAATGTGGGTAGGGATAATTTTGCAAAGGAAGCAAGACAGATGTATGGAATATATCCAGTCACCCTAGTACACACCTAGTACTTTTCAAACAGAGTCGGGGAAAAAAAAGAAAAAGAGCTACCACTTTTATTTGGAACTCATTCTGTTTTATTTAATTATTTTTCTTACCTGCAGCTTGAAAGACAGTTCATGCTTCAGGGCCCTGAGATCATCCAGTTGCTGTCTGAGCGCCACCAGTGCATCTTGCTTCTCGCAGACATCTTTCTCCAGCATTTTCATGGCTAACTCCATCTCCTGTCTCATCCCAATCTGTGCCTCCAGTTCCTTTTCCACATCCTGAAACACACAGCACAGTCAGTTTTCTTCCTCATCAATGATGTTACCACCCCTCACTGGTGCTTTTGGCAATGAAGTCACCATCTCTAAGTGTGCTACACTGTTACAGCATCACAGTTATAGATTTGACATACCAGAAACAATTAAGGACAAAAAATTCACAATTTCAGTCCAACATTAAAGAGTGATTAAGTATGCATTCTGATCAACTGAGTAACATTTCCAATAGTGGCAATATCCTTACCTGCAAGGGGGATGTAAAAGCAATTGCACTGCCTGTTTTGAGCCACAAAATTAACCAACAAGACTGTCTCAGATCAAACTGAAGTAAACAGGCAGAAATGACAATAAGCCCCTGGTCAAATATGCTGAAAAATAACTGTCTGGCATGCAATAATTATGTGAAAAAGCCAACTGTAGGGAGCTTCAACCTCACACTGTCCTTACCAGCCGCAGCTGAGTCTCCTCCTTTAACTGTTTTCGTGCCTCAGTCAGTGCCTGTCCATCTGCAGTTCTGTCTTTAGCGACCTAATTTAATGAAGAAACTCTATCAACGTAATGATACACAGTAACAATTCTCACATTGGCTCATCTGCTTATCCCACTTTTGAACCAAATTGTGCAACTATCAGAACACAACTAGACAATGCAACATGCAGCTTATGAGAAATCTCTGTTGCTCAGTGCAATTCAGCACCTATAATTGAAATGGACAGACAGACCATTTTCAGACCTTAGATAATTACTAAGTATGATTTAAAAAAAATCTCAGAAAGATACCTTTCAAGTTTTAAAACTAAAACCAGATTCTGTCATAGTTACCAATTCTCTCAGCAAATAAACTGAGAAAAGACTAACATATTTTATCATCCCGTCCTTTTATTTCCAAAACGGGTAGCATATCAGGCCAAAAAAGCAGACCTCATATTTCTGAGCTTTTTTTGCCACATCTCAGTTAGATCACCCTTCCTCCAGTCTGTTCTGACATCTTCACCTGGCAAGCCATAAGGATGCCACGTTAGCTTTCAGCTCTGCACGTGTACAAGCTACCGCCAGGCAATATTTACTATGGTCAGGGTCCATCTGTTACTCTCTGCAGAGGATCCACCTGGAGTCATTGTTACTTATTACAGGTTTTTTGTGACATGGATAAGGAAATTAAAGCTCTTCAAAACAGCTACTCTATATAAAATTCTGCCCAGTGGGTTCAAGCATCATTTGCATGTACTGACCTTACGATTGGACTCCAAGATGTAAGAACTTTCTTCTTTAACTCGTTCCATCTCTTCTTGCAATGTAATAATCCTGTTGTTTGCAACAGCAAGCTGTGAGCAAAACAGAACAGTAATATATTAAAAACACATTTAGCAGATTTTTTCTTCTCTAGACAGATTATCCTGTACTTGTTTGCCAACATTCCCAGTAAGAAAAAAATATATATTTCAAGTAAAAAAAGACAATTCAGCCCCTAACATAAGGACAGACTATCTGAAAAAGTATCAGCCAACAATGAAAATATATGACATTGGTACTACAGCAGTGACTTCCCAAACTACTTCTATTTGTGTCTTTTAGTAACATTACTAAGTTCTTTAGGTCACTATGTCCTAGACTGTACATAATGTGTGGTTAACACAAGCAGTGCAAATCCTCATTTCAATAAAAATTAGCCTGACAGAAGCATGAGTCTTTGGTACAGCCAAATACACAAACAGATATGACATGTGACACAGTTCATTAACTACATCCTGCAAACAGCTCCAGTTGGCACAGCATGTCCCAGTGTCGATTTAATTCTTAATTTGAACTGCATGCAGACTTGACTAAGAGAAAAGCAAGCTACTAAAAAAATAAATCAATAGATACCTCAAGTCAATACTGTAATCAATCTCATGGGTATCACGATTAATGGGTATCACGATTAATGGACAAAGCATTCAAATATGGACGGTAATAAATCAAAAGCCATTTATTGCATCAGCACCAAGAAACACAGCCTACTGTAGGACAGCTTTCAAAAATTAAAAATATCCTTTTAAATTGCAAAAAAACTTTTTTTTCCACTTTACCTGCAAGAGTACATACACCAACTTGCCAGTAAAGTTTCTCATTATTTGGAACACATCCTTTAGAGAAGGTGTTACAGAACCAGACACACATACCTCTCTGATGAGAGTGAACAAGTAAAAAAGAATTTCTATTTCTTGTTTGTACTGCCAGAGCACTGAGATGTCTTAATCAAAATCATTCTGCTGAGCAAAGTGACATGCTGACACAGACACCGTCAAACCTTTAGGACGAGATTTACTGTTATCACTCATGACCTAAAAATAATTTTATTGCATTTATGCCATTACTGATGAATTGCAAGACCAATTTTAAGACACAGGTCACACCTACAACTCACGTACAGCCCTTCCATGCTCAGAGTGAACAAAATTTTTATAATATTTCATTCCTTTATATCTTGCAAATGCTGACAGACTAGAGGAAAAGTCACTGATGCATGCAAGATGATATCAACACAGTAGTAAACTTTTACATCTGTCAAAATAAACAGAAGTTTAGAAATGTCTCTGTCTCAACCTACTTCAGCTGTATGGCAATTCAAGACACATCCATTGTGTAATTCATTTTAAGAAATTTTCCACAAAAAAGAAAGCATTCAGAAGACTTCAGAAGGAAAAAGTGGATTCAACAGCTTTGATTTTGAACATAAACATTTGGCTGTTTTGCATCTCACATTTAGTTCTCAGCAGTTCAGTATTCCTGTTTCATCTTTAAAAAGACATCACAGTGTACACCAGAATTCTGAAAATAAATCCTCCCTTTATCTTTTCAATCCCTAATTCCAAAAGGCTAGAACATCAGATGCTTCCCTATTACACTTACCTCCTCCGTCAGTTTAGTGTTGGACTTTTCTAAGGCATCCACTTTGGCCTGCAGGTTGTTTACTGTAGCACTGTTGAAGAAGAAAAAAAAAACAAAACCCACATCAGTAATTTCTTCTTTTTTAAAAGTCTGTTTCCTATTGTGCTGTCCAATATAACAAAAAATAAATAAATCATGTATTACCTTAAGTGCCTATTGAGTTCTTCTACATAGTTCTTCTGGTCCAAAATAGCAGTTATCTGACCATCTCTGGAAAAAAGAAATACCCCCAACTCAGCCTGAGTGTAGTCTTTTCATACCTACAAATGCTGACTGTGTGGTGCATTTCTGAAGGTTCCATGCAGACTGGAAGGCCTTTTCCACCATATAAAAAGATTATGAGACGAAGATGAGTGAACTCCAAGTTATTCAGCCTACTTTTACTTCCAGATTACCCACCCTGATTGTCCTGCATGGCTTTCTGGTCCATACTATGCAGCATAACAGAGGCAAACTGTCACTCTGAATGCTTATGCAGCGTTAAAGGCTAGGAAAGGAAGAAATAACATAATTTCTCCTTGATTTCAAACCTCAGTATCTGAATTAATAGATGTAAAGAGATGATGTAAAAGGTTTAAGAGGAAATGTGGCTGTACAGCCATTGTATCCACCATGGCACCAAATGTCCCAAGACCTGATGAGTCTGTGTGTTGCATGTGAAACAGCAAAGCTGAGTTGCAGTCTATGCCCCTCTCATCAGTTACTGTCCTCCAACTTCTCAGAAGCTGCAATTTCTACATTCAGGGATTTTGTGACACATTAAAAGAATAATTAAGCTGGACAACGTTCCAGTCATTACATCAGTACTTAAAAGAAAAAAAATCAGTACTTGAACCATATCTATATTGAAGAGGGACTACTTCACCAAATTCAATTCAAGGAAAGCTGCCAACAAACGTGTATTTTGCATACTCTTTCAGCAGGATATCTCAACTACATAAAAGCTCTATAAATGCATTTATTTCATCTGTGGTTTTAACCAAAACATCTGATATTGAGGTGTAATAATTCAAAATATATCTGAATGTGAAGTGGCAGAGCCTCCTGAGAAGAAGAAATACTCTTGAAAGCCTCAGAAAATCACAATACATGATCTGTGTGTCAGCATACCCACACTTTATTTTTTCACCCTCTTGTTCTAAATGTTGCATAGCTACATTTATGTATGCTGACACAAGCACTCTGAGTTGTTATTACAGTTACAGTCATCTCCAACAGCAGAACTTATTTCTGAAGACGCTACAGAGCTTAAAACCAACTCCTGTCCTATGATACACAATAGGTAAAGGTTACTAACTGCTTACCAAAAATGCTTTCAAGAATGGCAAATTTAACTCAAAGAGTTACTTTTAAAGTATTTTCATCTTAAATGGCCAGGAGACTTTCCTCAGCCTTTCTACCTCTCATCGCTTCCAATGTCTTATTTACACATTATGCACTTACAAATATGAGCAATTTGTTCTCTATGAAAAACAAACAAACCCTGAAGTGTTTTTTTAGTGAAAAACTTAATAGTTTGCAGGGTAACTCAAGATACTTGAAAACAAGTCATCAAGAGATGAGCAGGACAGTTGTGCATGTGCTTACCCTTCACTGCCTTTTGTGCTGTTTCCATCTTTCAAATACATCGAAAAATCAATAACTCCAACCTAGGAGAAAAAATTGCATTTTTAATTAAACACTTTTGATACAACTAACATAGCTGTGAAAGTTTATTGTCATTCAGTTAAAACATCAATACATACTGTGTCACAAGGATTCATTATACTACTAATCTAGCCAAAATGAAGGAAAATATGAACCAGTTCAAGCAAAAATATGCTATGAGAGAAAGCAAATTGGCAAAAAAGTCTTCAGAAGTAACAGTAAGTTGAATTGTTACAATTTAAGCAGGCAGAAAAAAACATTAACTGAACACTACTCACCTGTGAATCCAGGTCTTCTCCTTTCATGCAGAAGTTTGCATCAATGACATTCAAACCTACGAGGAGGCCAGCAATGATCGCACCTTCTTCTTCCATCATCAGTGCATTAGGCTCATAAAATTCACTACAGGATGGACAATGAGAGAAAAGAAGTGTTGTATCTTTTAAAAGTCAACTAGAATCATGACAACTAGCATGCATGCCCTAGTATTTCACAGAATGCAATGCAAAGTTCAGGCTTAATGAAAACCCAGGCAACAATAATTGACATAATTCACACAGAAGCATACTGCTGCTCTAACCAAACATCTCTCAGTACTGTATATCTTTAGGTGACACAAAGACCCATTAAGTAGGAGATCTGGACTCTCAGCTGTTAAAGTGGAGATGCAAAAAAAGCATGAATATTGAGTAGCAGTTCAGCGCAGTGAAAATTCAAGGCTAGGCTTAATATTAGAGTTTTATTAATAAGCAACACTTCTGCTACTCCACTAAATACTTCTCAAACACAAGCTGCCACATTATCCAGAGGAAAGCAAACTGCAAAGTCAGCTCTGGATTTGCACAGTCAATAAAAATCTACGTCTGAGTAAAGAAACACCAACATATTTATCAAGTTCTACTAGTTCACACAAACATAGTAGCTCATAACTACCCCACATTGTTAGTGCTATTGTTATGAGTGGGGAAGTGAAAATACAGAGAGTGAATTGACTTGCTCCAAGTAAGACGGTGATAAAGTGACAAGATCAGAAATAAAACTACGGCCAAGATCATGTGAACAGAGAATGCTGTATTGGTCTGCAAGAGTTTTTCAACTGAACTGCCTCTTTGGACACAAAATTTGTTTATTCTAATAGATACTCGAGACAGTAAGGGTGGAAACACCACCATTCATGGATAAACAAAGAATATTAAGCATTTTTACTCCCTGAAATGAAACTATGTTTCACAAACATTACCACTTCTGAGGAGATGTACACATATCCTTCCCATTTGGATGTAAAACTTCTTCAAAAGATCTTGGAAGGCAGAAGTGAACCTTACCCAATCTGAGAGAGAGTTCAAGGCTCACCTGAGAAGGTCTTTTCTGTTAATCAAGGCTTTCATGTACTCTGAAAGTTTCTTCTGCATTAGAGCAAGGCGAAGCCAAGCTCTTCCTCTACCCACAGGTGTCCTACAAAGGCCAAAACCAACACAATTACACACATTCTGTAATGCACACTCACAAATGATATTAATACCCTATTTGTCAAGTTTCTGTATCTTAAAATACAGCTGATATAGTTGAAGAGAGGGATATACCAGATATGTAAGTATAAATAGTTACAGACAGGATTATCACATAATCTTAGAATGGTTTGGTTTTGAACAGACCTTCAGAGAGCAGTTAGCAAGTTATTACCTAAGCAACCGTTCCTTCTCTCATAACTAATTATATATCTGTTACCACACTAAGAATATTTTCCTGACTTTACCCTAGCTGGATTTCTACACAGAAATCAGCTGCTTCAATAAATCACCTTTTAACTCAAATTCAGTTTTTGCAAGTCAGTAGAATATGTGTATACTTCAGCTTAGTGCTGATGTCCAAACATCACCCCTTCGAGCGTGTTAAGCCTACTAAGAATCTGTAAAGACAACTGAAAGCATAAATTCACTGCTGTTCAAGTATTTTGCTCATAACACATTCATGGGATCCAACAGGGTATGGCCTCAGTCCTTCCCCTCCTCTGCTTTTCCAGACCACCTTAGACACACAGCTTTAAAAATACTGAGAACTGATATGATGCATCACTGTTCTGGCTCATCCACCCTGACAGAGTGGCTGGGAACCAGTACCAGATGCTCCAAAGGAAGGTATAAATCCCCTGTGCTGAGCAGAGCTCCAAATAGAAAGAAATTTCTTTTCCATCTCTAGTAGTCAGTTGTCTTACAGCAAACAGCACGTAAAGCATTTTATTTTTCAGTCTTAACTAATATAAGTAGCAATTGCACATGGAAATTATCTTCATTATTCCCTTTTATGGTCTTGACGTCAACTAACACATGACATTTTATTTCCAAATGGTTAGTGTGTATATAGGACTGTAGTTTTGAGAATTATTCAAAAACTGTCTTTTACTTTATGTCATGCTACAGTATTCTTTTACAACAAGAAAAGCCAGGAGCTGTGACATGACTCTCCTAGCACTCCATGCCGGTCCTGTAAGCTGTTCCAGGCAGATTCCTATGCAGTCCACCACTAAAAGCACTTTTCCATACATATATTGCTAAACAATAAACTGAAATAAGCTGTTATCAAATGTATTTCCCTCTTTTTTGGGCAAAGATTTGATGCTTAGTCCTGTCATTCATGCAAAAGCATCCTCAAACCTTTTTTCCTTTTGTTAGGCTGAAAGCCTTCACACTAACAGTTCTCCAGCAATGGTCTAAGCAAATCTGAACGTGATGTCTAGAACGACTATGCATTTTTTTTTTTAGAAGCAACATATCCTCCCACAGGTTTTTTCTCTCGCCTCTTCAGCAAAAGTCAGTATCTTCTCCAGCTCTGTAAGCTTCTCTTTTACACAAACTCTACAGGTTTATTTAAATATATTTTAAAAGAAATTCTTCTTCTATCAGGCTCAAATGCATGTAACCTATAATCATCTTCCTTCCAATTCCCTTTCTCTTCAGCCTAGCTTCAGAAGGTGAGTTGGTAAAGGCTCACTCCATTCCTAAGACCTACTGTCATTCATTTAGTGCTAGCAGTATATTTGCTATTGTCCATATGACCTTTTAATACAGAAAGAATGTACTCTTCCTTTCCTTCTGCAGTTCCTTAACTAAGGTAAAAAGAAAAAAAAAAAAGTAATGAGCCATTTGTATAAACAGCAAGTGGCAGATGCATTCCTGAAGATCGGGTTTGTCCTTCCTTCTCTTCTTCAGAATCATTCTTACAACAAAAAGTAATGTATTAAGTACTTGTGCAGTAAAAAACTGTACTTACTTCAGACCTGGGAGATCTTTAACACTTGCTGTAATCTCTGCAGCTTCAGGAACAAGTTTTTCTACTAGTTCTAAAGGTCCCCAAAATGACTTATTTTGCCCAAGAAAAGTCTTTTTGGCTAAAAAAAGAAAATATATAAAATTAGCCCATTGAGCCTGTGTTGATTATTTATATTCTCAAACATGATCAGAAGTAAGATCAGAACAGCTGACAGAAAGAGCCTACTGGGACTGCTACTGAGCAAGTATAAAAGATTACTTCTCATACCCAAAAGTGGCAATTACTGATATCATTCAAATAAAGCAGTAAGGGCTTGATGTAGATACCAAAAGTAGTTTTATACAAGCTAAATATTGCAAGACAACATCCAGTTATATCCAGTAACTCAGACTCACTGCTAGAGGCAAAGATTTCTCCTAGGATGTTGCCACTGTTCCTGAGTCATACCCCGTATGTGCACAGTAATTTTCCTTCACCACTACATTTCAAGGAAAAGAACCACAACGCTTTGAATCTAACTCCTCTATAGTTTCCAGGGATTTTTCTGAAGGAGGAAAGGATGCGTAGAGGTTTCTAGTGACTCCTATATTTTAAAACTGGAAACTAATTTGCAGAAGTAAGGAAACTGAGAACTCAGCTAACTTAAAACCAGCAGTAGTGACATCAGCAAGAGGACAGATAAGCAACCAAAGCTGAACAGCATGAACACCTCTTCCTTGCACACATAACCAGCACAGGAATCACTCTGCCCCTGTGTACTTTGCCCACAATGCTGAATGAAGCTTTTTAAAAAAGCACCACAGGAATTATGTGCTGAGAGGAAATTTAACATCCCCCACTCTTCATCTCAAGGAAAGGGCAGCAAATCAAGGAAACTAGCAGTTCTTAGCAGTTGCAGTTGTAACTCCATGATTCATAGTTAACTATATGCTCTGCTTGCCATTTAAAAAAGCAGCTTAAAAGATATTAGCTGCAGTAAGTCAAAATCCTCAATTTTGATAGAACTAAGCAGTGCTGCAGATCCTCTTCCACCAAAAAATTCATTGCCTCTCTAAGGAAGTGCTGAAAAAATGGAGTCATGAGTTTGCTGAGGAGGCAGCTTTAGCCCTGATGACTTAGTTATACTTGAATCACATCTGAAAAGCTGTTTTAAAAGTGACAAGCAACTGCAACAATGGAGCTTTTCGCTTGTAGCATTATACCTTCAGCAGATTCTCTCCTTTTTCTGTGCCCTGTCAAGTCACCTGTGATCACAGACACCCTGCTCAACCTCTGCTGAATACCAAGCCAGACTTTTAAAACTAGATTGCTCTCCTGCTCCTATGCTGTGACAAACAAGCCAGGAGGGCTCCTCTCAAGTAAGTTTACCTTTCAAGCCATGTTTAAGGCAATGTTCCATCACAACGAAGAACTGCTGAAGAGGTGCATAGTCAGAGTCCAGTGTTCTGCCCAGATTAAGTGCTGATTCGATCAACCCCTTGATACTCAGTTTTGCCATGTTCATCAGGTTCATGCGTTCATTAGCCATGAGATAATTAGGATCTACAGAAAACAGAAGAAAAATACGGCTGAGTAACAAAAGTTTTTATTATAATAATATATCCCATTTCTCTTCTCATCTCAGCACTGAAGACATTTTTAGTGGCAGTGATAGTTTGATGAGAGGTGCTCTCTTCAGTCTTTTCCAGAAAAATCAAAATGAACCAGCACCTTATGATGAAAGCAACACTGACATAGGACTAGGTGATAGTTTAAGAATTGAGAAACTCTTAAATTAACTAAAAAATCCTTCATTTTTCAAGAAAGAACAGATTAAAGGCTGACATTAATACTGTGCTTCACATCTCGACAATGTATTCCTGAATGCTACAGCTGTCACCTTCCCCAGCTCAAAGCCCTGGCTACATCCAGCAACTACAACTCCATAAGAATTCTGCAGCTGTGACTTGTTCCTCGCTCTAAAGACAAGCATGAATCCTCTCACACTTAGTCCATCAATGATCCTCTTTTCCCAGTGTTTCATCTTTCATGACTTACTTAAGTTTTAATATAACAGAGCCAATTCCCATCTCTCTCTTCATTGTATCAAAAGTGCTTAAGTATTTTAATAGCAATAATGAGGAGCATGGCTCCTTTAGCAGCTTGCTTTCACATCCAGCACACACAGACCTTCCTCAAGACTATATTCTCCCTCTAACATTATATAAAAACTCAGACCTTGTATAAAGGTCTGTTATTATCTGTTTCTCATTGCAAGAGATTAGCACTCATTTCCCAAAGTACACCCTACATACAGGCCTCCCCTGCTCCCTGATCTGTCTCTGGTACGGTACAGTGCACTGATGCCCACACCCAACCTGAGCACCTCTCCTCCCAGAGGCCTTCAATTCACTTACAACACCCAAAGATACAATCTCACAAGAGCACCAGTCCTGTAACCACAGTGAAATTGCCCTACATCTACAAAGCATCTTAAGCTTTAGGCCTACAAACAGTAAGAGAGACAAATCCTTCCTGTTAAAATACAGTGCCGTATGAGCTACAGGTTTTCTGTTTGCATCTGTTCCACATGCAATCTTACTAACGCTCCTTGGCACGAGTAGCTCCATCTTTGTAAGGCACGTTTATTCTAGGGTTGCTGTAAACAGCTGCATACTGTTAAACCAATTTAGTAGCTTCAGCATTGAGTTTATTACACTCAGTAGAAGAAAATATGACCCTAAGACATCTAAAGATGGATGTGTACCCAGTGCTTATGTCATTTGCTGTATTGACAGAGCATGCATGCATTTAGCAAGCAATTAAAACAGATACCCAAGCCTTACAACCTTCAATTAGAAGAACTTCCAAAAGGGAGCTGTATTTCTATTAAAAAATAAAAATAAAAAAGGCCATGAAAATTACTACAAATCTAAGCAGCATAAGAATTTGCACGGCTGTTCCTGCAGTCTCTGCAGACTATTACCACACAGATCTGCCCTTTGGAGCATTCTCAAGCTCCTTATGACTGCTCAGAGACCCTAATTCTTTAATGCACAAATAGCTTACATAGGTTCCTATGTCTCACCCTGAAACATCCAGCATTGCTGAGAAGGAAATGCAACTCCCATCCTCAAAGTAAACTCTTGCGGATGTGCATGCTTGTCTGCAGCACGTTTGCCACTGAGCAAATATCAAATCTCTACCAGATACATAGACTTAAGGCAACTTAAGGATTGGTCATGTAACCTCCTGTCTACAGAAGTGTGAAGACTTGATTTCTCTTAATTTAAAATACAACTATTTAGTCAAAAGAGACTATGGGGTATATTTTTCCCAGAATGCTGCAATCTCCCATAGGACTTGTCCTACTGATGAAAGCCATCACTCTGCTTCACTGGCACTGATGACACCAGTTGCTCAGACATGGGTGAACACCGCCTCTTTGCCATCTCCAATGTACTTCCACTGCAGTGAGGCACCCACCAGCCAAAGACAATATGAGGAGCAAACCCTCATAAAAGCACTCAGCTATTAGAAATCACATCTACCCATTTTCAGTTTTGTTCACATCCTGCAGGTTGAAACAAGCCCAGTAACCCAAAGCTGACTTAATTTTAGCGACCTAAAACTATATCCAAAACAAGCAACAAGAAGAGTAGCTGCTATTCCTGATTGAGACTTCCTATGCCAGAAAAAAGGAGATGATGAAAGGCACTTCAGGGTTAGCAGAAGAAAAGCAACTACTCAAGCGGAGACAAAACCGCCCCCTGAAAAAATATGAAAGGAGATCGAAATACAACATTTGTGAAATCTGGTAACAAACAAAACCTGGGAACAAGTGAAATCTGCCTTTGCAGCATTCCGCGTTCCAGTGCCCATGGGCCTAAAGCTAACTGGCACCTAAGGTGGTGATGGCTCATTATTGCTGCATTGCTTTTGATGGGCTGTCCGCCAGTGGATGTGTTGTTTCTATCCAGGATGCTGACAGCTCAAAGAAATACTCTGTGGCATTGCTCTAGCAACTCTCATGTACCCCAACTATTACAGTTAAGGGCTGCAAAAAAATCCAGTTCAGGGAGACTGGTTGTGAGAGCTACCACCATTCAAACTCGATACCATGGCTGCTTTTGCTCCATCTCCTCAGAAGCATGTTAGGGCAAGGCCAGTCTTCTCACCTTGCTGCTCCTGGATGAAGCAGTACCCCAAGTCTCCTCTAAATTTCATTGGAACCATCCTGGCAGGTCCTGCACTGAGGAGCTCAAGGAGGGAAGACATGAGGAACAGGAAACATACCAACAGTGCTGAGGAATGCGAACTGGAATTGCCATTGATCAACAGCTATCACTGTAATCTCACTCCAGACCATGCCTGCTGCCATGGAAGAGTATATCTAAACAGAGAAGGCTCTAAACAGAGAAGTGTCAGACAAGTTCAGTTGTTCCTGTGTGCATCCATAACGGTTGCTCTCTAAGAGCATGAGCATCGCTCCAGTATTTGATCCTATCACAGACACAAAATTATGCTCTGTGTTGGTACCATGATTCAAAATTCATTTAGAACAAGCTCCTCTATTAAAAACCAGCCAGCTTCCTCCTCCAGTACTTCTCTCAGTTTTACTCTATCTACAGCATGCCTATGCTTCCGACCAAGGCAGATAAACCAGCAAAAAAATCTCTTATCTGAGGCAGTTTTCACATGTGCCCACAAACAAATATGGTGATGAGGTAAAAGAAAACAAGAGGTTTATTATTTAAATACGTTTTGAAATCTAGGGTGAACATTATTGCTTATCTTGCCAGGCTTTAAAGAACAGCCCCTGTGCATGAGCACACACTCAGAAATGAGATGAGAGCATTTAACCTTAACACAGCTAACCATTAACTATGACTAGAACTTAAATCTCGTCAATAGTAACAGCTTCTAATTCTCATTCCCTATTGGAGGAATGGCAAGATACAGAAAGATGGAGAAACCTTTATCTCTTTTTATCAGTGCTTCTCTCCCTGTAATAACATCCCTGCTGCAGCACAGAGCTGTGGGAGCAATTAATTGATCTCACCAGGAGCAAGCAAGTGTCCAAAGGGATTCTCTTAAGTGGCAAATCAATCATAAACACAAAATTAAAGAAACTGTACAAGATAGAGTATAACCGTACCCTAAGTAAAATTTTCCGTGTAGCTATGTTACATGGATAGATTCCAAGAAGACTGCTCTGAATTAGGATGCTGCTCCATTAATATACACTTACAGGAAACTATATACTTTTCCTCCAGTATTGAGAGCTGCTGCCTCCTGCAGACTAATAGTAAGGTTAAAAGATACCCTATGTATTTCAAGGCAAGATGTATGGCTATCTGCAGGCCAAAGGTCTGTGACTGCCACATCTCAACTGGGGTCAGTGCAACACTAATTTAAAAAGAGAAAGAAAAAATGGATGCGTGTATGTTCAAGACAATCAGATACCTTCAACACTCTTAAGGGATGAGAGCTAATGAACATGAGAGAATGAAAGCACTCAGTTAAAGAAGGAAAAGCAGGGCTACATGTTCATTTCATACTTAACTGTGCAATCATGGTCTGAAGAATTAAAACGTCATTTCACTGAAAGATGTTTTAATCACATTAACAAAATAAAGATTGCTTCTTCATCAGTGTGTTGTGAATGATGGCACTCTGCGTATGAAGCTGCAACCCTGCCCACAGCACAATGTTGGAAAGAGGTGATCTTTAAGGCCCCTTCCAATCCAAACAATTCTATGATAATATCTCAAAGACGAACTCAAAATACAAAATCCAAAATAATCTATATCCTTGTTATATGCGCTACAGCGTACACAATCTCAAAATTGAGTCCAAAAAAACAGAGTAAGCAAGCAAAGATGATTTTCCCACAGGAAAACTCAGCCACCTACTTCTTTGACAGACATCAAATGCAACTGACATCCCATTGAGATTCCCAGCCTGTGCCAGAATCTCCTCCAACTTTCTGCCTTGAACTGCAAAAAGCTCAGCCCATGTTCTACCGTAAATGCCATGCTGTAAACATTAAGAGTAAAACCTTGGCCCTTACACTTTGTCTTTCAATGTGTTTTGGATTTCAGTTCAAGTAATCTTGAGTTTTGGACAATACTGATATTTAAAAATTGCAGCTTCTAGATGATGGACACTTTTGCTAACCAGCAATCTTGAACATGATCACATGCAACTGGGCTTGATTCCATTAAAATGATAGGTGTTAAATAATGAGCTGATCCTGCTGTTTCCCTAAAATACCAAATTCACAGGTTGCTGAAGATGTAAAACTGTGGCACAATCATTCACATGCAAACAACATGAAAAGCAAATACTCCTGAGAATTTTCCATGAACAACTTTTCAAATCATCTAAGAATCAAAAGAACCCTGTAAAATCACAGAATTAAGGTTGGAAAGACCACTAAGATCATATAATCCATGGGTGTCCAACCTTCCAGCTTGCCTGGGCTGCATGGAGTGAAGAGGAATTAATTGTCTTGGGCCACATATACGTAAGTTGCTCCGAAAGTAATGCCTCCTATTTAT